TAAGGAAAACTGTCACTCTCACGCTGAAACCCGCTTAATTAAAATCCATCTATCGACGTGTGTATCGTAACCTGAGTGCTACACCATGTGTTTATCTTAAAACGCTGCCCCATTTTCAATTTACGTTTAATTGCTGCTCGGGTTTTAATTTATCTTAAACTGGCACATTGTCTTTTATCTTGAATTGGCGCACTTTCATTTGTTGCAACTTCGTACGCTGTCTTTATCTTGAACGGGAGCATCTATGTTTCATTTTCAGCCCTTAGTTACCCTTGAGTGTCCAGCAAAGGCCACTAGGTTCTCCAGTTGAGGCTGTCAGACAGGTCTGTGCATTTGGGCCTTGCAAAGCAGGAACCGCGAAGCACACCATCCAGTGAGCCATGGCAATGCCGTTTGAAGGTTCTGGTTTCGGTGCAGTTTGCCTGCCCCCTTGGACAGAACCTCACATGGTGTGGCAGTACTCCTGGGTTTTTTTAAATATACCTCACTTTCCTGCAAGCCGCCGCGGAACAGTGTGGGACTGTTTGTGCAATTTAAGTGGTGCGTTTGAGGTAATCTTACTTCAGGATAACCTAACGTACTTTTCACAAGTGGTGTGAGAGTGATCAAATGCTTCTTTTGGACGGCCCTGCGGAGATCCGCCTTTCAGATCCACCTTCCATCTTCTCATGTGACTGTAAAAGATCTCAGGAAAAGTCAAGGCAGTATGTATCATTTATGCAGTATTTTTATTTCCCTGCATCTATTTTAATGACCAAAATCAACAAGGTGTAATGCAGTTATTATATGAAGGGGTCCAGTGACTGAGTACTGAGGGAAATGCAGTGCGCTGTACTTATAATTCTATATTTCAGTTCCATTATTCAGGGGAGTACTTTATTGTAGGCAGAAATGAATTTTGCTGGGGGTGGGGGAGGGGGGTGGTGGTGGTATTTTTCACCGACTGGGGGGGCTGAAGAAAACTCATAATTTTACTAGCTGGCTACGTTCCTGATCACTGGGGCTGCATGCTTTAACGCCCTGATCACTGGGGCTGTATGCTTTAACGCCCTGATCACTGGGGCTGTATGCTTTAACGCTTTCCACAGTTATTCTCGGTATTGATGCTCCTTGGCGGCTGCTTAATGCTGTTACCTTGTGCACTGACCCCTAAGATAAAAGCCTGCAGGAAATGCTACATTTTCCACATGCATATACAAAGTCACACCTTCATGCTTATTGCTGCCCCCGAAAGTTCCGGGTTCCGGAACCACGGCATCCGGTGCAGTTCTTTAAAATGCGGAGGGCGGCTTTGGCGGCATACAGTGGATGTTCAGTTTCTGGACCAACCGTGATGTTGGACAGAGAGCTTTGATCAGTAAAATGCACTGTCGGTTCGCCCAAACTAGCTTATCGTAAAAGAAAGTAGGGCATCAGATTTCTAAGATGTGTGAAATGGAACTTTACTAGATAACACTTGGTGACAGAAACGCTGGGCTGCTGCTCGGGGCACACTGCCCTGTGGAGATCTCGTCCGCTTTCCCAAAAGACGTGCTGAGCTCCTGGACCGCAGATCGCAGTCATCCATGCTACAGACAGAACCACTTGGGGTTGAGTAAAAAAAATATATATTACTTAAAGTAGTCGTGGGTAATGCATTATAGATAACTTCATAATACATTATAATGCATTCATAAAGCATTATAAACATGGCTATAATTATTTATAAAAAGGCATAACACATTGTAGCCATGTTTATTATGCATTATGAATGCTCTATGAAGCTCTCATCTATAATGCACTATAAATACCTTATGAAGATATCTATAATACATTAAGGTGACTGCTTTAAGTAAAGTGTTATAAAAATATAATTAAATAAGGAGGGAAAAAACCCAGAATGTCTCATAATTCAGCTGCAAAAACCCAGGCGCCTGAACTTCTAACAAAGTGAGCAATATTCTTTGTAATTAGAATGTAACAAAAACTTAACGACGCATCATTAACACTCCAGAGGAGCTTGTGATAATTAACAAAAATGCCGAAAATGAAATAAGCACCAATAAGCATGTGAAATACATTAAAAGTTTTAATTGGAAGCTGATATGCTACAGATTCCTGCCATGGAAGAATGGAGGAGCCATTTGCTTCCCAGAGATTCTGTCTGCTGATCCACAAACATGTTAACGGTATAGCCACAGACATGCCCCCCCCCCCAGCATATCCTAACCCCCCACTGTCGTAGCTGAGTGGGCGTCGCCTTCCTCGATTGATTATCCAATCATGCGACACCCCTTGTTTCGACAGCCTGCTCAGGGTTTGATTTAGGCGGATGAGAGTGTGGGCCTTATTGTGGTTTAATGGCGCATATCTAATGAGGCTTCGGGGTTTCCTACTGGTCGAGGGGGTGAGTTTGGCGTGCAGAAGACAATTGACAAAATATGCTGTCTGCTCACTTGCTGATTAACTTCTAGAACAGACATCCACCCATCCATTCATCCATCTTCTAGGATCTCATCCCAGGAAACAGGGCATATGGCAGGGGGGGACACTGGATGGGATGCCAGTCCTGCACAGGACATTCACCAGGACACGAGGCCACTGAATCACATATTTTAGACTTTAGGAATTACCTGAAATGCACACAATGTACACGGAGAAGACAGACATCACACACATTGGAGCAGGAATCCAACCCACAATATATATATGTATAAATGTATAATTATTTAATGACCTAAAATGTTTCCGAACTTTTGTAAGCGATGCCTGAGATGTAGAGGACACCTCAGAGTGACTTTGTAAGAGATTCCAGCTCTTTCTGGGAACCTCCCGCAGGATCAAACACACCCTTCATTTCTCGCTTCAGCGACTCTCATCTCATTGATACTGTTTAGTTTCTCACCGAACGACGACAAGTTAATGAGCATGTGCTGTCTAATTAGCGTCTTACCTTGGGGAGCAACCCTCCCCCCGCTAAAAAAGCATGAAATCAATTTCCCTGTATAGTTTAGCGTGTCTCCCACTTTCCCAGTTAAACCACCAGCTAACTATTTGCTTCCGTGCGTGACGTGGTGATATGATAAAGAAGTCTATTTTTCCTACTCGTTCATTCATCCTTTTCACCGCCCCAAAAGGAGAGAACTTGCCAGACTACGCCACCCTGGGAATTTCACCCAAGGAAATAACTAATCCTCCTCTAACACAATAAGGCAACCAGGTTCGATATACGCCCAGTCAGGAGACGTAGTACGACTTAACATAATACTCTAATTACACAACAAACTCTAAAAACACAGCAAAACACAAAAGCTTCATCCCAATGACACCAAACAGGAGTTAGGGGGCAGATAAAGTAGGGAATAGATGGTCAAGGCGTAAGGGCTCCGTAAAACAGAAATAACCAGGCAAAACTCACTCCAATCCAAAGGAAACCCACACAGCTCACACACAAGACGCCAGCCCTACCCCCCCC